TACCCACTCCCCAACCCTCCCTTATTTATCTCTACCTGTACCCTCTACACCCCTCCCCTTATATACACCTGTACCCATTACACCCCTCCCATTCCCACCTGTACCCTCTACACCCTTTGCTATATGTTCCCACCTGAACCCACTTCTCACCCTTCCTATATCCCCACCTGTACAAACTTTAACCCGTCCCTTTATCTCCACCTGTACCTCTACACCCTCCCCATATCCACACACCTGTACCCTCTACACCCTCCCCTATATGTTCCACATGTACCCACCTCTCTAACCCTTTCCCATCTCCACCTGTACCCACTTCACACCTCCCCCGCATCTCCACCTGTACCCACTTCCCCACCCCATCCTCAGTATATCCAACCTGTACCCACTTCCACCCTTCCCCTTATCTCCCCCTGTACCCACCTCCCACCCCTTGCATCTCCACCTGTACCCACTTCACACCCCTTGTCTCCCACCTGTACCCACCTCTCACCCTCCCTTGCAACCAACACCTGTACCCTCAACACCCTCCCCTTATATATATCCACCTGTACCCTCTACACCCTCCCTATATATATATACACCTGTACCCATTACACCCATCCCCCCTATATCTCTCCACCTGTACCCACTCCCACCCCCCTATATGACCTCAACCAGTACCCTCTACACCCCTCCCCTATATCTCCCCACCTGTACCCACTCCCCACCCCTTCCTCCCACCTGTACCCACTTCACCTTCACCTGCATCTCCCACCTGTACCCACTTCACCCCTGCCTTTATCCCCTCTTGTACCCACTCCACCCTCCCCTATATCTGCACCTGTACCCACCCATCCCCCTCCCTATCTCCACCTGTACCCCACTTCACACCTCCCTATCTCCCACCTGTACCCACTTCCTAACCCTCCCCTTATATTCTCTACCTGTACCCACTCCCCACCCCTCCTCCCAACTGTACCCAACATCACCCCTTTATATCCCCTTCACCCACCCCCACCCTCCTCCCACCACCTTTACCCACTCCCCACCCCTTACCTTTATCTCCACCTGTACCCACTTCACGCCCACCTTTATCTTCCCCTGTACCCACTTCTAACCCTCCCCCATCCTCCACCTGTACCTCTACACCCCTCCCCCTTTGTCTCCACCTGTACCCTATACACCCTCCCCCTTGCCCCACCTGAACCTCACTCTTATCCCTTCCCCCGAGAGAAACCCCACCTGTACTCCACTTCTCACCTTCCCTCATCTCTCCACCTGTACCCACTTCCACCCCTTCCCGAGAGTTCCACCTGAACCCACTTCTTACCCTTCCTATATTCTCCACCTGTACCTAACTTAATCCTCCCTATATCTCCACCTGTACCCTCTACACCCTCCCCTATCTACACCTGTAACCTCTACACCCTCCCCGATGTCTCCCCACATGTACCCACTTAACCCCTTCCTCCCACCTGTACCCACCTCACCCATACCTTTATTTCTCCCCTGTATTTCTCCCCTTGTACCCACCTCACCCCTCCCCATATCTCCACCTGCACCCCATTCCCACCTGCCTGCCCATCACCCACAAAACCCACCTCCCCACTTCCTACCCCTATGTCCCCCTGCACCCACCTCCCACCCCTACCTTTATCTCCACCTGTTCCCCATTTCCACCCTACCCTCCCCTGCCCCATCTTCACCTGTGGCGCTCTACACCCCTCCCTTTATGTCCCCCCTGTAAATCCATTTCACCCTTTCTAACATTCCACCTGTAAAAAACTTCACCCCTACCTTTATCTCCCTCCTCTGTACCCACCTAAACCCTCCCCTATATCTCCACCTGTACCCTCTACACCCTCCCCCCATGTTCCACCTGTACCCATTTCACCCTTCCTTCCCACATCTCCACCTCTACTCACCCACCCCTACCTTTATCTCCCCTTGTACCTCCACTTCACCAATCCCTTATATTCCCACCTGTACCCACTCCCCCCCTTCCCTTTATATCCCCCTGTACCCACTCTCACGAGTCCCCTGCACCTCCCCCCTGTACCCACTGCACCACCTCACTCACCAAACCCACCTGTACCCTCAACACCCTCCCTATATATCCACCTGTACCCCTCTACACCCCTCCCTATACACCTGTACCTCTACACCCCTCCCTATATATACACCTTTACCCATTACACCCCTCCCTTATATCCCCACCTGTACCCACTTCACTTCCCCATATATGACTCCAACCAGTACCCTCTACACCCCTCCCCTATATCTCCACATGTACCCCACCCCACCCCTTCCCGAGATCTCCACCTGTACCCACTTCACCCTCACCTATATCTGCACCTGTACCCACTCTCCATCCCTCCCCTATATCTCCACCTGTACCCACTTCACCCTCCCTCATATCTCCCCACCTGTACCCACCTCCAACCCTCCCTTATATCTCTACCTGTACCCTCTACACCCTCCCCTTTATATACACCCTGTACCCATTACACCCTCCCTATATCTCCACCTGTACCCTCTACACCCTCATGCTGTTCCCACCTGAACCCACTTCACCCCTTCCTATATCCCACCTGTACAAACTTAACCCGTCTCCTCCCCACCTGTACCTCTACACCCTCCCTCCCATTTCTCCACACCTGTACCCTCTACACCCTCCCTATATGTTCCCACATGTACCCACTCTCTAACCCTTCCTATATCCCCACCTGTACCCACTTCCACCCCTCCCTTATATCCACCTGTACCCACTTCCACCCCCATCCCATTCCTCAACCTGTACCCACCTCTTCCCCCTCCCCCTGTACCCACTCCTCCACCCCTTTGCTATATCTCCACCTGTACCCACTTCACCCTTGACATTCCCACCTGTACGCACTTCACCCTCCCTTTATAACCCACCTGTACCTCAACACCCCTCCCTTATATATCCACCTGTACCCTCTACACCCCTCCCTATATATATACACACCTGTACCCATTACACCCTCCCTTTATCTCCACCTGTACCCACTCACTCTCACTTCCCCCCTATATGACTCCCAACCAGCACCCTCTGCCACCCTCCCCCTATATATCTCCACCTGTACCCACTTCCACCCCTTCCTATATATCTCCACCTGTACCCACTTCACCACCCCTCCCTATATATATACCCTGTACCCATTACACCCTCCCTATATCTCCACCTGTACCCCTCTACACCCCTTGCTATATGTCTCCACCTGAACCCACTTCACCCCTTCCTATATATCTCCACCTGTACCCACTTCACCCCTCCCTATATATCTCCACCTGTACCCACTTCAACCCTCCCTATATATCTCTACCTGTACCCACTTCACCCCTCCTTATATATCTCCAACTGTACCAACATCACTCCCTATATATCTCCCCTTCTACCCACTTCACCCTCCTATATGCCACCACCTTTACCCACTTCACCCTTACCTTTATATCTCCACCTGTACCCACTTCACGTCTACCTTTATATCTTCCCCTGTACCCACTTAACCCCTCCCTATCTCCACCTGTACCCTCTACACCCCTCCCTATATGTCTCCCACTGTACCCACTTCACTCATCCCTATATATCTCCACCTGTACCCACTTCATCCCTACCTTTATATCTCCCCCTGTACCCACTTCCCTATATGTCTCCCCCTGTACCCATTTCACCCCTCCCTATATCTCAACCTGTACCCTCTACACCCTCCCTATATGTCTCCCCCTGTACCCACTTCACCCCTCCCTACATCTCAACCTGTACCCTCTACACCCCTCCCTATATGTCTCCCCCTGTACCCACATCACCCCTTCCTATATATTTTCCACCTGTACCCACTTCACCCCTCCCTATATTTCTCCACCTGTACCCACTTCACCACTACCTATATATCTCCACCTGTACCCACTTTACCGCTCCCTATATATCTCCACCTGTACCCACTTCACCACTACCTTTATATCTCCCCTTGTACCCACTTCACCCCTCCCTATATATATCTCCACCTGTACACTCTACACCCCTCCCTATATATCTCCCCTGTACCCAACTCACCCCTCCTTATATATATCTCTACCTGTGCCCTCTACACCCCTCCCTATATGTCTCCATCTGTACCCACTTCACCCCACCCTATATATCTCCACCTGTACCCACTTCACCCCTCCCTATATATCTCCACCTGTACCCTCTACACCCCTCCCTATATGTCTCCACCTGTACCCTCTACACCCCTTCCTATATATCTCCACCTGTACCCTCTACACCCCTCCCTATATATCTCCACCTGTACTCACTTCACCCCTTCCTAGATATCTCCACCTGTACCCACTTCACCCCTTCCTATATATGTCGACCTGTACCCTCTACACCCCTCCCTAGATATCTCCACCTGTACCCACTTCACCCTCCATATATATCTCCACCTGTACCCACTTCGCCTCTCCCTATATGTCTCCACCTGTACCTACTTCACCCCTCCCCATATATCTCAACCATGCAGTACCAACTACACCCCTCCCTATATATCTCCACCTGTACCCTCTACACCCCTCCCTATATATCTCCACCTGTACCCACTACACCCCTCCCCATATATCTCAACCATGCAGTACCAACTACACCCCTCCCTTTATATCTCCACCTGTACCCTCTACACCCCTCCCTATATATCTCCACCTGTACACTCTACACCCCTCTCTATATATATCCACCTGTACCCTCTACACCCCTCTCTATATATATCCACCTGTACCCTCTACACCCCTCCCTATATATCTCCACCTGTACACTCTACACCCCTCCCTATATATCTGCCCCTGTACCCACGACATGCCCCACTTGCAAGTATTGCGATTGTTTTTAAGACCCACAAACAACGTGGTTTACATTAACATAGAGATTCACTCCGGTTAATATCTTCGTTATTCAACTAACATAGCACGTCGAAAATTATGTCACAGCAGCAGGAGACCAAATGACATCAGAGTGACCTCCCTTTGCTATTGCGTACCACATGGGCGTGACCTCGCTGCCTTTCGACAATAAACAAAGCAGGGCAAACTGGTGCTGTGTCACAGCCAGGTCAAGTTCACGATCGGCGGGGTTCGCTCGGCATCCACTTCCCCCGTTATTGTTGGAGATACCATGTGAAATACGGACAAGGTAGGTAAATGGACCGGCTGACTAGCTACCAATGGTGACACACTCGACAAGGTCTCGTTCAACACGGACTAAGTCACAAGTCTTGTGTTTTTTTAGGTCTTGTTGAATCTGCATATCAGGTATTGTTTGCATGACAATTGCCACAGTGAACGGCCTATGGGTTCGGTGTGTACTGCAGTAGAGCTAATCATTGTTATAAATAGACAGTGTGACTAACAGTATTTGCTGAATGTCCGCGTAAACAGCCTCCAACTTAGTTCAAGAATTATGTTCCCCACTACTAGTCTAGTACCACAAGCTCGTACTAATTTGTTTACCTCCAGCTATCGCCACACGCTCGCGGCAGCAGATCCAGTTTCATCGTTGTTGAAAGCATTATATGGCGGTAACAGATGTTGCTATAATTAAGTAGACCCGCTGATTATTAAGAGAAAAAACATTCTAGGAATGCTGTCTATTGTAAGCAGAATAGCCATGGCCTTGATGTCTACTGCCTTTCCTTGTTGGAAATACCAGTTGTACAGTTCCCAACTTCCCAGATGACATAGCCTTGATGTCTACTGCCTTTCCTTGTTGGAAATACCAGTTGTACAGTTCCCAACTTCCCAGATGACATAGCCTTGATGTCTACTGCCTTTCCTTGTTGGAAATACCAGTTGTACAGTTCCCAACTTCCCAGATGACATAGCCTTGATGTCTACTGCCTTTCCTTGTTGGAAATACCAGTTGTACAGTTCCCAACTTCCCAGATGACATAGCCTTGATGTCTACTGCCTTTCCTTGTTGGAAATACCAGTTGTACAGTTCTCAACTTCCCAGATGACATAGCCTTGATGTCTACTGCCTTTCCTTGTTGGAAATACCAGTTGTACAGTTCCCAACTTCCCAGATGACATAGCCTTGATGTCTACTGCCTTTCCTTGTTGGAAATACCAGTTGTACAGTTCCCAACTTCCCAGATGACAGGCTGATAGCAAAGTTTCTTGTACCCATCAGGCTTGCCCCAAATGGCGACTCACTATCAAACACAATACACACTATAGATACTCACTATCAGCCCTGCACACAGGGAGTATATATATTGTATATGACAAGACAGCCCTACACACAGGGAATATATGGTGTATGACAAGACAGCCCTACACACAGGGAATATATGGCGTATGATAGGACAGCCCTACACACAGGGAATATATGGTGTATGACAGGACAGCCTTACACACAGGGAATATATGGTGTATGACAAGACAGCCCTACACACAGGGAATATATGGTGTATGACAGGACAGCCTTACACACAGGGAATATATTGTATATGACAAGACAGCCCTACACGCAGGGAATATATTGTATATGACAAGACAGCCCTACACACAGGGAATATATTGTATATGACAAGACAGCCCTACACACAGGGAATATATTGTATATGACAAGACAGCCCTACACACAGGGAATATAGTGTGTATGACAGGACGGCCCTACACACAGGGAGTATATATATTGTGTATGACAGGACAGCCCAAGACACAGGGAGTATATATATTGTGTATGACAGGACAGCCCTGGACATAGAATTTTAGTGTGTGATGCATGTCAAGACTCATGATAAAAGCAAGGAATTCCACAGCTGTTTTAAGCGTGCCAAGGTTGTTGGACAAAATTTGCAATTTGAGGTTGATTTTGTGGATGCCATGTACTGTTGGACGGTATAGCGATAAGAGTAAACCAGGTGAAGTCCTTCACCCAGTCTGCCCAGAGTTGGTCATTTGTGGAGAAACTTTCTGAGAAACCATTTCCTCGTGTGTACATGCAGTGTGTGGGACAGAATAGCAGTCTATCAGCTGGTCTTAAATAGGAAACTGAGCATGCTGAGGGCTTTCTTTTTGGCTGCTCAGGACCAGTCGCTTCCTGCTCACAATCGCCAAAATGTGATTCTTAAAGACTGACTGAGTTTGGTTTTACACCGCTTTTAGCAATATTCCAGCAACATCACGGCGGTATTCTTAAGGAAAACACCAATATGAAATGTCGACTTTGCAATTAATATGTCAGTGGATGCCCTTCCTTGGCACAAACAATGCATTAAAAGACATGATGGCATGGCTCGTTGCTTCTACTACTGTGTCTGCCATGCCTGTGGCTTTGACTCCGAGGTCCATCAATGGTATGACCCTGAACATGTCCAGGGCATCATGGAAAATGCAGACCTCACATTTGAAATGTCTTGCTTGCATCCAAAGTACATTGTCGTCAGGCTCCCCACTGTTCTTGGTGCCCTTGGTTTGGTACCTCCTGATCTCTTGGCGCAGATCATGAGAGTGCCTGGGTTCTCCACCGGGAGCACAGCCCATCTGACACTCTGGGTATTGCAGAAGGCTGCAGTGTTGAGGAGTCTACATATTCTCCGGAAAGTTCTTGGTGTGTTCGACTAGGCAGCGTTTCCTGGGAGAAGTCCCATATTGCTGTCTGGGCTGCGTGTAGGGGAGCAAGGACCGTGAGCTGATGATGAGCCTTACCAGCCCGACTGTGCCAGGATCATCCAAACCCTCTCTGCTGCATACAATTTTTAATCCATAAAACATAATAACAATAAAGAGAAATAGTGAATTGGATCTTCGTTAAAATAACCACAAGAACAAGAGGGATGATAATGATGATGATAAGATTAATTAGCAATGAAGAGTGGAGTGGTCTGTTCTGTTGTTTTTATCAGTTCAGATGGGATGAGATATCCATTATCTCTGTTAATTGGGGGCTTATGTGGGCATATTTGAACTGCTTCTGCTAGTTTTCTTTTCGAGGTTTTGGAGGTGTTTTGATAATATTTCTACTTTGTCCCACTTGATGTTATTTTTAGGACAGTTGATGATGTGTAAGAAGGCTGTTGTGGTAGATTTTAGGTATTCATTGATGCTGATTTTATGTGATGGTAAGTTTCACTTACGTAGTTCTCGCCACAGTCGTTGATGATTTTAAAGACAGCACCTTTGGGTTCTTGTTGTTTAGAGGTGTTCCTGCCATTTACATTCAGTTGGACTGTAGTATTAGTGTAGGTTTCCATGCCAGCTTGTCACTTCAGGAAACAGGTGATGTGGTGGCAGCTCTTTCCTCTGAATTCTGGTGTCCCCCGCCGTGATATTGCTGGAATATTGCTAAAAGCGGCGTAAAACAACTCACTCACTCACTCACTCTTTCCTCTGAAGGGAGTGATGTACAGATGGGTGCTGGTTCAGGTTTGTTGGCAGCTGGTCGGAGAAGGGTGGTGCTGATAGTATTGTCAACAAGCTTGGGTGGGTAGTGGTTAAACTGCCTGGAAACCGGGCAAGGTGCTGGATTTCTGTGGTAGGGGTCATGGCTTGTCTGTTTGTAAGGTGAACTGGATATGGGGTGATGTTGGTTGAGGTGTTGCAAGTGGATTTCTCGGTGTTAGTCTACTTCATAGGTAGTCAATTTTGCTTCCTTGCCTCTGGGTTGATTGCAAAATTGACTACCTATGTCACCAGATTACTGATATCCTTGCCAAAGCCAGCCCACAACCACCCAACCTGGCAGCTGCCAAAAAACCAGCTATCAGCAACATACACAATGACAAGGACATCACCACTGTACCAGCCAACAAGGGCAAGGCCACATATAATTGATACAATGCTTTTAGTTATTTTTTGTCACAAGTGAATGATGAAATTGTACGTGCTCCCCACTGAGGTATATTGCTTAAAACTGCTTAAAAACTTGCTCACAGTTAGGTTGCTGCTATTAACTATTCTGTACTGAGGACATGTTTCTTTGGCATGTTTTCATCTGTTAAAAATCAAAGATGATCTTTTGTCATTTCAGTACATAATGACTGAGAAGCCTCCTTCCACATCTGAATCATTCCTGCCAAGTTCTGAGCATCCTCTGTCAAGTTCTGTGCCATGGTCAGGCTCTTCATCTGCCCTCTCCATATCTTCATCTTCAGCATTTATGAATGCATCAGCTCCTAGATTGGAAAACATATTGCCCCCCTTATCCAGGAGACTCCTCCGCACCACCGCTAGGACTTGAGTCTGCCTTCGTTCATGCCTCAGCTCCAGATCTGACAGTCCTAGAATCACCAGAGCCTATCCAACAAACTGCAAGCCTCCTTCCAATAAGGCATGGACCTGGTCTCTACCCAGAGTGTATTACTGCCCCCGTCCATCACCATGTGCCACTCACCAGTCCTCCCCCAGTATCAAACTACCCGCACCCACCTTCAGATGCTGTGTCTCCAAACCCAGCACAGGTGCTTCCACTGTCCTCAATCCATAAAACTGTGCCCTCATCAAGTATCCACCTCCTTCCACCAGTGTCAGCATTTGCAAATGCCACAGCCCCTGTTCGCTCTGGGTCATCATCCCCAGCCCCCTATCCCAGAATTCACTGCCAGCAGTGTGACACTTGATGATTCTCTCAACTTACTCATGGCTGCCAAGTATCAAATTGACTTTCTCAGAGTTGCTGCACAGCAAGTGGGTCTTCATCACACAGGTCCTGTGTTAGATTATGCAATTCAAAGATATGAGAAGTACTGGCTTCCTTTGTGTGCCAAACATTCAGATCAAATTCTCTCTGCGCCTGTTGACATTGAGTGGGTATGGCACTGTCACTTACTTTGCCCATTGAAGTACAAGCTGGACTGTCTCCATATAGTCGGCATGGTGATTGACCATCGACTGTTGTCCCGAACTGACCGAGAAGATGCTGTGGACCTTGCTCAGACGGTGTGGGAGGATGAGTACCCACACATCCCTTTTCATGTCTGTCAGAATGATCATGTTAATGTTGAGCCCCACTTTAAGTCACAGTTTACATATGACATAGCGGCAGCTGCACTCCGACAGACAGTGTTCTACTACCAGGTCTCCCTGCCCCATTACCAGGATGAGAAATTCCTCAAGAGCTGTGTAATGAGATATAAACAGTTTCTGTATGCAAAGAAACATCACCCAAGAATGTTCCTAGTACCCTGCTATGACATGGATCTCATCTGGCACACACATCAACTCCATCCACGCATCTATGCCAGAGATACCCTCAATCTAATTGGTCAAATATTTGACCACGATGACTCTGTAAATGATAGGAGTCCAGGATCAAAACTTAACAAGTGTGATGCTCAAACTAGAGTGGTTTGGAAAAGAACTTTCCAGCAGAACTTTGCACTAACTGGAGCCATGTACCGTGGGGAGCCACCTCAGAAGAAACTGCACAATCTTTCTAAGGATGATGTGAATATGATCGCTACAAAGAAGACTGACATTCTACTGGAAAAGGTTGTCATGGATGGTTACATATCAGATGGCAAAAAGCTAAAACTTCATCTCTGGTACCGAACTGGGTATCAAAATTTTGGTTTTGGTCTCAGTGTTGAGGACACTATTACTGTCCTGCGCGGTTTCAGGACTAAGTTTGAAAGAGGATACAAGGTTATGAAGAATTTTTCTTTTGACACTAAATTCAATCATAAAATCTGTGCAGATCTGTGTCAAAAGGAAGGAGTATTCTGTTTCAGTGGTAAAAAGGATCTTGGGAGGGGTTGGTTTGACCTGAAGAAAGTGGTTCAGGATCTAGATTCAAAGGGTCTTTCAACAGATCTGAAGATCAACATTGGGAGTGAGGCAACTGCCCAGTGTAGTTTAAGTATTCCTACACCAACACGTGGAGTGTCTGTTTTCAAGTTGGTTGTGGGCCAGTATGAAACATGTATCATGCCAGAGAATGTGCAACAGATATGGGGACCTATACCATTATCTCGGCTACCAATAGGAGTACCAGCTACCTGTTCTGTGGCATCTCACAAGTAGGTATTTTTCTCTTCTGTTTTGGCATCTGTTCTTAAACTAGACCAATTCTTCCTGGCCACCTACCTCAAAAAGTATGATTCCAGCATTTATGTTTTTCCATCATTAAGCATGACACCATCATTTATAGACCTCCATCACTAAGGATGAGACCAGCATTTATATCCCTCCATCACTAAGTATGATACCATCATTTATATACCTCCATCACTAAGTATGATACCAGCATTTATAGACCTCCATCACTAAGTATGATACCAGCATTTATAAACCTCCATCACTAAGTATGATACCATCATTAATATGCCTCCATCATTAAGTATGATACCATTATTTATAGATGTCCATTAGTAAGTATGATACCAGCATTTATATGCCCCCATCACTAAGTATGATACCATCATTAATATGCCTCCATCACTAAGTATGATACCATTATTTATAGATGTCCATTAGTAAGTATGATACCAGCATTTATATGCCCCCATCACTGAGTATGATACCATCATTTATAGACATCAATCTCTAGGTATGATACCAGCATTTATATACCTCCATCACTGAGTATGATACCAGCATTTTTTTGCCTCCATCACTAAGTATGATACCAGCATTTATAGACCTCCATCACTAAGTATGATACCATCATTTATATACCTCCATCACTGAGTATGATACCATCATTTATATACCTCCATCACTAAGTATGATACCAGCATTTATATACCTCCATCACTGAGTATGATACCATCATTTATAAACCTCCATCACTGAGTATGATACCATCATTTATAAACCTCCATCACTAAGTATGATACCATCATTAATATGCCTCCATCATTAAGCATGACACCATCATTTATAGACCTCCATCACTAAGGATGAGACCAGCATTTATATCCCTCCATCACTAAGTATGATACCAGCATTTATATACCTCCATCAATAAGTATGAGACCAGCATTTATATCCCTCCATCACTAAGTATGATACCAGCATTTATATACCTCCATCACTAAGTATGATACCAGCATTTATAGACCTCCATCACTAAGTATGATACCAGCATTTATATACCTCCATCACTAAGTATGATACCAGCATTAATATGCCTCCATCATTAAGCATGACACCAGCATTTATAGACCTCCATCACTAAGTATGATACCAGCATTTATAGACCTCCATCATTAAGGATGATACCAAAATTTATAGACCTCCATCACTAAGTATAATACCAGCATTTATATACCTCCATCAATAAGTATGATACCAACATTTATATACCTCCATCATTGTGCGTTTTACTAACATGTATACACTTCTATCTGATGTAGGTCAACTATTGAGATCTACCTACTAATCTACCAACATACTGATCTACCTACATACTTACCTACTAATGTATTATTAACCTACATACTGACCTACGAACCTACTGATCTACCTACATACTCATCTACCTACCTAATCTCCTACCAACCTACCGACCTACTGATCTACTAACCTCCTGATCTACCAACCTACTTACTGATCTATCTACCTACTCATCTACCAACCTACCTACTCATCTACCTACCTACTGATCTACCAACCTAAATACTGATCTACATACCTGCTTAACTACCTACCTACTCATCTACCTACCTACTCATCTACCTACCTACTCATCTACCTACCTACTGATCTTCAACCTACCTAATAATCTACCAACCTACCGACTGATCTACCAACCTACTGATCTACTTACCTACTGATCTACCAACCTACCTACTTACTGATCTACCAACATATATACGGATCTACCAACCTAAATACTGATCTTCCTACCTACTGATCTACCTACCTACTGATCTACCAACCTAAATATTGATCTACCAACCTACTGATCTACCTACTTCCTGATCTACCTACCTAAATACTGATCTACCTACCTAAATACTGATCTACCTACCTACTGATCTACCAACCTAAATACTGATCTACCTACCTACTCATCTTCCAACCAATAGATATACCTACCTACTGATCTACCGACCTACAGATCTACCAACCTAAATACTGATCTACCTACCTACTCATCTTCCAACCAATAGATATACCTACCTACTGATCTACCAACCAACCTACTTACTGATGAACCAACCTAAATACTGATCTACCAACCTAAATACTTATCTACCAACCTAAATACTCATCTACCAACCTAAATACTGATCAACCTACCTACTGATCTACCTACCTACTGATCTACCTACCTTAATACTGATCTACCAACCTACTGATCTACGAACCTACTGATCTACCAACCTACTGATCTACCTACCTACTTATCTACCTACCTAAATATTGATCTACGTGTCACAAATCAAAAGTAGACCCAATGGATATTCAGCGCATATTACTACAAATGGAAAATAAAACCTGTTTAGGCCACATATGTTTATTACATCACAACCTCACTTCACAAACAGTAGCATGAAACAGTGACATTCTCAAGATAATATAGGTAATCAGGGCATCTTGTACTAATCAGCACAAATATAAATCCAATCACATCCAGATGGTGAGGCAAAAAACAGTCAAAAGTACACACGAGTTCACTGATGGTCCATAAACACAGAATGTCCATAACAAAATAGTCCATGGATGTAATCCTGTATACGATGTGTAACAGCTCTGTATGTTGTCGTCCAGAATAGTGTAGTACTGCCTTATATCTTGATGAACTCTTGAATACGAAAACCAGAACTGGGAGCAATTTTCCCCCATTCTGAAATAATAGATACCTACTCGCTAGGCACGTGGTGACAACCATAACATGTCGTGTCAACACATCTAACACAATATCATTCTTAAAATAATAACACCAAAAATGCTACCCAAAGTGTCTGCGAGTAACAATGTTCAAAGACAAATATTTTCATAATCCTCAACACCAAGTGATAAATTTACTTATTTAGTTTTGCTAAAGAAACCAGAAACGTACTCACAAAAAAGGCCTTCTCCTTAGATCTCCCTTGACAGCATGAAGTTCAACTGTGTTAACTTCAACTTAACAAGACTTTATATAGCACATTGAGAACCAAATGCATGCTTTGCACATAAATGAAATGGTGTGTTTGGGAGATCTGTTCCCACATTAAGGCTGACATCCACCCCTACCAAAATACATCTTAAATAACTTTCATGAAAAGAGCATGAAACATGACACTACAAACCTACTGATCTACCTACCTACTGATCTACCCACCTAAATATTGATCTACCACCCTACTGAACTACCTACCTACTGATCTACCTAACTACTGATCTACGTACCAACTGATCTACCTACCTAAGTACTGATCTACCAACCTACTGATCTACCTACCTACTGATCTACGTACCAAGTGATCTACCAACCTACTGATCTACCTACCTAAGTACTGATCTACCACCCTACTGATCTACCGACCTACTGATCTACCAACCTACTGATCATCTACCTACTTACTGATCTACCTACCTAAGTACTGATCTACCAACCTACTGATCTACCTACCTAAGTACTGATCTACCACCCTACTGATCTACCAACCTACTGATCTACCACCCTACTGATCTACCAACCTACTGATCTACGTACCAACTGATCTACCAACCTACTGATCTACCTACCTAAGTACTGATCTACCACCCTACTGATCTACCTACCTACTGATCTACGTACCAACTGATCTACCAACCTACTGATCTACCTACCTAAGTACTGATCTACCACCCTACTGATCAACCTACCTACTGATCTACCTACCTAAATACTGATCAACCTACCTACTGATCTACCAACCTACTGATCTACCTACCTAAATACTGATCTACCTACCAACTGATCTACCTACCTACTGATCTACGTACCAACTGATCTACGTACCAACTGATCTACCTACCTAAATACTGATCTACCGACCTACTGATCTACGTACCAACTGATCTACCGACCTACTGATCTACGTACCAACTGATCTACCAACCTACTGATCTACCCCCACTAAATACTGATCTACCACCCTACTGATCTACCTACCTACTGATCAACCTACCTACTGATCTACCAACCTACTGATCTACCTACCTAAATACTGATCAACCTACCTACTGATCTACCAACCTACTGATCTACCTACCTAAATACTGATCTACCTACCTACTGATCTACCTACCTACTGATCTACGTACCAACTGATCTACGTACCAACTGATCTACCTACCTAAATACTGATCTACCACCCTACTGATCTACGTACCAACTGATCTACCAACCTACTGATCTACCGACCTACTGATCTACGTACCAACTGATCTACCAACCTACTGATCTACCTACCTAAATACTGATCTACCACCCTACTGATTTACCTACCTACTGATCAACCTACCTACTGATCTACCAACCTACTGATCTACCGACCTACTGATCTACGTACCAACTGATCTACCAACCTACTGATCTACCTACCTAAATACTGATCTACCACCCTACTGATTTACCTTCCTACTGATCAACCTACCTACTGATCTACCAACCTACTGATCTACCTACCTAAATACTGATCTACCTACCTACTGATCTACCTACCTACTGATCTACCAACCTACTGATCTACCTACCTAAATACTGATCTACCAACCTACTGATCTACCTACCTACTGATCTACCAACCTACTGATCTACCTACCCATTGATCTAACAACCTACCTACTGATCTACCTACCCATTGATCTAACAGTCTACCTACTGATCTACCTAGCCATTGATCTAACAACCTACCTACTGATCTACCTACCCATTGATCTAACAGTCTACCTACTGATCTACCTACCCATTGATCTAACAGTTTACCTACTGACCCAATGATCTGCCTACCCATTGATCTAACAACCTACCTACTGATCTACCTACCCATTGATCTAACAGTCTACCTACTGACCGAATGATCTGCCTACCCATTGATTTAACAACCTACCTACTGATCTACCTACCCATTGATCTAACAGTCTACCTACTGATCTACCTACCCATTGATCTAACAACCTACCTACTGATCTACCTACCCATTGATCTAACAGTCTACCTACTGATCTACCTACCCATTGATCTAACAACCTACCTACTGATCTACCTACCCATTGATCTAACAGTCTACCTACTGACCGAATGATCTGCCTACCCATTGATCTAACAACCTACCTACTGATCTACCTACCCATTGATCTAACAACCTACCTACTGACCGAATGATCTTCCTACCTACCTATTGGCCTCTATGCCTACTGATCCACCTACCAACTACAGTCAGCTCTCGTTATTCAGACACTCATTAATTCGCCAATCACGTTAATCCGACAAAAAATTAGGGAACCATTTAAAACTGTGGTAATTACTTTTGTTAATCCGACATTCTCGCATTCCTGTATCCGACATACCAATCTAGCAAGTGATCATTGTAAATACATTGTAAAAGCATTCGTTAATCCGACAATCAACACAGTTGGTCGGATAATCTGACCGTAAACAAACATCACACATGAGAGGTGATTAGCGCGTGCCTTACTGGCTGCTTGACACCCACATCAGTGTACTGGCCTATGTGCCTACTGATCTACCTACTCACCTAATGGTCTAATGATCTACTTACCTACCTTAATACCATCCTATCAACCTACTGACCTAACAACCCACCAACTCTTTCACTGTGACTCAAGGTGCCACTACCATTTCAGGCTACTGAACCACATGAAGAAGGTTGAATTCACCTGTCGCATCATACATAGTCTCCCTCTGCTGATGTCTGCTGTTCAGATATTCTACCATGACAAGATGGCTGCTGTAGCTCATCTGGTGGGGCCTGACCAAATTCCAAGACCTGAACAAGTAGGTAACTAATTACTTTTCCAACAGCAGAAGAACACAGCTGATTGTGCAATGTGTTCTAGAAACACCTGCACGTAACTAATTGTGTCAGGTGTTCTAGCAACACAACTAGGCTAATATTAAAGTCAGGTGTTTAACACGCCTGAACAAGTACGTAACTAGTTATTGTTCCAACAGCAAAAGAACACATCTCATTATGTCAGGTGTTCTAGCAACACCAGTAGGTAACTGATTGTGTCAGGTGTTCTAACAACACCAGTAGGTAACTGATTGTGTCAGGTGTTCTAGCAACACCAGTAGGTAACTGATTGTGTCAGGTGTTCTAACAACACCAGTAGGTAACTGATTGTGTCAGGTGTTCTAGCAACACCAGTAGGTAACTGATTGTGTCAGGTGTTCTAGCAACACCAGTAGGTAACTGATTGTGTCAGGTGTTCTAACAACACCAGTAGGTAACTGATTGTGTCAGGTGTTCTAGCAACACCAGTAGGTAACTGATTGTGTCAGGTGTTCTAGCAACACCAGTAGGTAACTGATTGTGTCAGGTGTTCTAGCAACACCAGTAGGTAACTGATTGTGTCAGGTGTTCTAGCAACACCATTAGGTAACTGATTGTGTCAGGTGTTCTAACAACACCAGTAGGTAACTGATTGTGTCAGGTGTTCTAACAACACCAGTAGGTAACTGATTGTGTCAGGTGTTCTAGCAACACCATTAGGTAACTGATTGTGTCAGGTGTTCTAACAACACCAGTAGGTAACTGATTGTGTCAGGTGTTCTAGCAACACCAGTAGGTAACTGATTGTGTCAGGTGTTCTAACAACACCAGTAGGTAACTGATTGTGTCAGGTGTTCTAGGGTGTTCTAGCAACACCAGTAGGTAACTGATTGTGTCAGGTGTTCTAGCAACAACACCAGTAGGTAACTGATTGTGTCAGGTGTTCTAACAACACCAGTAGGTAACTGATTGTGTCAGGTGTTCTAACAACACCAGTAGGTAACTGATTGTAAACTGATTGATTGTGTCAGGTGTTCTAACAACACCAGTAGGTAACTGATTGTGTCAGGTGTTCTAACAACACCAGTAGGTAACTGATTGTGTCAGGTGTTCTAACAACACCAGTAGATTGTAACAACACCAGATTGTGTCAGGTGTTCTAACAACACCAGTAGGTAACTGATTGTGTCAGGTGTTCTAACAACACCAGTAGGTAACTGATTGTGTCAGGTGTTCTAACAACACCAGTAGGTAACTGATTGTGTCAGGTGTTCTAGCAACACCAGTAGGTAACTAATTGTATCAGGTTGTTCGGGAGAGTTCACTTAAACGCATCTCGGTCAGTTAGTGTTTATGGAATTTAAGAACATTCTTGGAAACGCACCTACTTCGCGGAGTAAAATCTACATAGACACTGACTGCACGAGATTTGCCTGCGAGTGAACTACACACGCTCCCAGCTTTCATATGTTAGAATTTTAATTCAATTTGGTTTCCAATATCGCTGATACCAGATATCATGATCATTTAGGGTTAGATTAGAAAGTCAGTCAGTTGTTAGATTTTCATAAATTAGTTAGATAATCAGTGGGGTTTAATTAGTAAAGAAAGTTAGAGGTTAGATATTCAGGTTTAGATTAGTTTAGTATTAGTCGGGTTTTGAACATTAATAGAGTTAGAAATTAGATATTAGGAGTTAGTATAATGAGTTAAATTCTTAGAAATTCATCAACGCAAAAGTTTACACATTTAGTTAGTTCTTCACACATTCGTTTTTTACGCATAAATGTTCATTAGATTAAGTAAGCAATAATAACACCTGTAGGTAACTATTTGTGTCTGGTGTTCCAGCAACACCTGTAGGTAACTATTTGTGTCAGGCGTCCTAGCAACACCTGTAGGTAACTATTTGTGTCAGGTGTTCCAGCAACACCTGTAGGTAACTATTTGTGTCAGGTGTTCCAGCAACACCTGTAGGTAACTATTTGTGTGTGTCAGCAACACCTGTAGGTAACTATTTGTGTTCTAGTGTCTGGTGTTCCAGCAACACCTGTAGGTAACTATTTGTGTCTGGTGTTCCAGCAACACCTGTAGGTAACTATTTGTGTCAGCAACACCTGTGGTAACTAGCAACACCTGTAGGTAACTATTTGTGTCTGGTGTTCCAGCAACACCTGTAGGTAACTATTTGTGTCAGGTGTAACTATTTGTGTCTGGTGTTCCTAGCCAACACCTGTAGGTAACTATTTGTGTCAGGTGTGCTAGCAACACCTATTTGTAGGTGTTCCAAACACGCTGTAGGTAACTATTTGTGTCTGGTGTTCCAGCAACACCTGTAGGTAACTATTTGTGTCAGGTGTTCCAGCAACACCTGTAGGTAACTATTTGTGTCTGGTGTTCCAGCAACACCTGTAGGTAACTATTTGTGTCTGGTGTTCCAGCAACACCTGTAGGTAACTATTTGTGTCAGGTGTGCTAGCAACACCTGTAGGTAACTATTTGTGTCAGGTGTTCCAGCAACACCTGTAGGTAACTATTTGTGTCTGGTGTTCCAGCAACACCTGTAGGTAACTATTTGTCTGGTGTTCCAGCAACACCTGTAGGTAACTATTTGTGTCTGGTGTTCCAGCAACACCTGTAGGTAACTATTTGTGTCTGGTGTTCCAGCAACACGTGTAGGTAACTATTTGTGTCTGGTGTTCTAGCAACACCTGTAGGTAACTATTTGTGTCAGGTGTTCCAGCAACACCTGTAGGTAACTATTTGTGTCTGGTGTTCTAGCAACACCTGTAGGTAACTATTTGTGTCTGGTGTTCCAGCAACACCTGTAGGTAACTATTTGTGTCATGTTCCAGCAACACCTGTAGGTAACTGTGTCTGGTGTTCCAGCAACACCTGTACCTGTAGGTAACTATTTGTGTCAGGTGTGCTAGCAACACCTGTAGGTAACCTGTAGGTAACTATTGTGTGTTCTAGCAACACCTGTGTTCTGTGTCTGCAAGCACACCTGTAGGTAACTATTTGTGTCTGGTGTTCCAGCAACACCTGTAGGTAACTATTTGTGTCTGGTGTTCTAGCAACACCTGTAGGTAACTATTTGTGTCTGGTGTTCCAGCAACACCTGTAGGTAACTATTTGTGTCTGGTGTTCTAGCAACACCTGTAGGTAACTATTTGTGTCTGGTGTTCCAGCAACACGTGTAGGTAACTATTTGTGTCTGGTGTTCTAGCAACACATGTAGGTAACTATTTGTGTCAGGTGTTCTAGCAACACCTGTAAGTAACTAATTGTGTCTGGTGTTCCAGCAACACGTGTAGGTAACTATTTGTGTCTGGTGTTCTAGCAACACCTGTAGGTAACTATTTGTGTCAGGTGTTCTAGCAACACCTGTAAGTAACCAATTGTGTCTGGTGTTCCAGCAACACCTGTAGGTAACTATTTGTGTCAGGTGTTCTAGCAACACCTGTAAGTAACTAATTGTGTCTGGTGTTCCAGCAACACCTGTAGGTAACTATTTGTGTCTGGTGTTCTAGCAACACCTGTAGGTAACTATTTGTGTCAGGTGTTCTAGCAACACCTGTAAGTAACTAATTGTGTCTGGTGTTCCAGCAACACCTGTAGGTAACTATTTGTGTCAGGTGTTCCAGCAACACCTGTAAGTAACTAATTGTGTCTGGTGTTCCAGCAACACCTGTAGGTAACTATTTGTGTCTGGTGTTCCAGCAACACCTGTAGGTAACTATTTGTGTCAGGTGTTCTAGCAACACCTGTAAGTAACTAATTGTGTCTGGTGTTCCAGCAACACGTGTAGGTAACTATTTGTGTCTGGTGTTCTAGCAACACCTGTAGGTAACTATTTGTGTCTTGTGTTCCAGCAACACCTGTAGGTAACTATTTGTGTCTGGTGTTCTAGCAACACATGTAGGTAACTTTTTGTGTCAGGTGTTCTAGCAACACCTGTAAGTAACTAATTGTGTCTGGTGTTCCAGCAACACCTGTAGGTAACTAATTGTATCTTGTGTTCCAGCAACACCTGTAGGTAACTATTTTTGTCAGGTGTTCTAGCAACAGCTGTAGGTAACTAAGTCTGCCAAGTGTTCTAGCAACAGCTGTAGGTAACTAATTGTGTGAGGTGTCTAGCAACAGCTGTAGGTAACTATTTGTGTCAGGTGTCTAGCAACAGCTGTAGGTAACTATTTGTGTCAGGTGTTTAGTAACACCTGTAGGTAACTAAGTCTGCTAGGTGTTTTAACAACACCTCTAGTTAACTAATTGTATCGGTGTTCTAGCAACACCTGTAGGTAACTAAGTCAGTTAGGGATTCCAGCAGCACTTGTAGGTAACTAATTGTGTCAGGTGTTCTAGCAACACCTTTAGGCAACTAATTGTGTCAGGTGTTCTAGCAACACCTGTATGTAACTAAGTCTGTCAGATGTTCCAGCAACACCTGTAGTTAACTAATTGTATCAGGTGTTCTAGCAACACCTGTAGGAAACTGATCATGTCAGGTTTTCTAACAGTTAGTGAGTGAGTGAGTGTGTTGGCTTTTACGCCGCTTTTAGCAATATTCCAGCAATATCACGTCGGGGGACACCATAAATGGGCTTCACACATTGTGCCCATGTGGGGATTTGAACCCGGGTCGTCAGTGTGACAAGCTGACGCTTTATCCATTAGGCTACCCCACTGCCCCTGTGTTCTTACAACACAAGTTGGTAACTAAGTCTGCCAGGTGTTCTAACAACACCTGCAGGTAACTGATTGTGTCAAGCATTCTAACAACCAGATAGGTAACTAAATGTGTCAGGTGTTCTAACAACACAAGTAGGCAAATATTGAAGTCAGGTGTTCTAACACCTGTAGGCAAATATTGATGTCAGGTGTTTAACAACACAAGTAGTCAAATGTTGAAGTCAGGTGTTCTAACACCTGTAGGCAAATATTGATGTCAGGTGTTCTAACAACACAAGTAGGCAAATATTGAAGTCAGGTGTTCTAACAC